AACTACAACAAGGCCTGGATTCGCTTTGACCCAGTGGACCTGGCCACAACTATTACGGAAATGAAACCCGTACTCCAACGCGCTCGGGCTCTGGCAGCACAAGGGGCGAGTCCGGCCGAAAGGGCCTTGATTGAGGCCCTGGGGGCTCGGTTTCCCAAAGAAGATGATGAAACGAAGCCAGAGGATCTGGATCTTCATGCGTTGGATCGGGCTTATGCAGACGCCATGCGACCCGTCTACGAGGCTTATCCGGAGGACCCTGATATCGTGGCTCTCTTTGTAGAGTCACTCATGTGCATATCCCCGCGGGCTCTGTGGAATCTGGACACCGGCGAGCCCTGCGGTCCCCATACTACTGAGGCTCGTCGGGTTCTTGAGAAAGCTATGGCCTCCCTCCCCGGGGCCAGTAACAATCCTGCCTACTGCCATCTGTATATCCATCTCATGGAAATGGCGCCATATCCGGAGGTCGCACTACCAGCTGCGGATCGACTTCTTCGACTCGTGCCAGATGGTTCGCATATGCTGCATATGCCTAGCCATATTTACGTCGCTTGTGGTGACTATCGAGCGGTTATTGATTCGAACAACCAGGCCATGGCTGTCGACGACAAATACTTTGCCAGGGAGCCGGGTACCCTCTTGTATATCATGTACCGATCGCACAACATCTACGTGAAGGTCTATGGTGCAGTTATCTCTGGGAACTTTGCAGAGGCCATCTCCGGCATGAAGCGTCTTCAGGAAATCCTCACCCCCGAGCTCTTGTCTATAACCACTCCTCCTATTGCGAATTGGGCAGAAGGATTTCTGGGAGCCATAGCCCATGTCTTGATCCGCTTTGGACGGTGGAATGATATCTTAGATCTACAGCTCCCCAAGGATAAGGAGCTATACGCGTCCACGACGGCGATGATCTACTATGCCCGCGGCATTGCTTTGGCGGTGTTGAATCGCGTAGAGGAAGCCAAAGAAGAAAGGGAAAAATTCGAGGCTGCTCGCAAAAAGGTTCCCCCGTCTCGCTTGAACAGCCTGCCCGTTCGCGAGGTGGACGTCCTTGAGATCGGATCGGCTATGTTGAAAGGAGAGATCGAGTATCGCCAGGGCAACTTTGAGGAGGCATTCGATCACTTGCGGCAAGCGACAAAGTTGGAGGATAACCTGGTCTACGCTGATCCTCCGCCATGGATGCAGCCTGCACGACATGCCCTCGGGGCTCTGCTTCTCGAACAGGGTCACGTTAGTGAAGCACAGCATGTGTATGAAGAGGATCTGGGGTTGAGTGAAACCCTCCCGCGTCGGAAGGCAAGATTGAACAACGTCTGGAGTTTGCATGGTTTGTATGAGTGTCTGATTCGGCAGGGGATGCATGACAAGGCTCGGTATATTCGTGCTCAACGCGACGTTGCGCTGGCTTCGGCGGATGTTCCTATCAATGCTTCATGTTTCTGTCGTCTTTCGGCGGTTGAGTTGACCAATGTTTGCTGTAAGTAGACGAAGTCGCAGAATAAGACCTTGTAAGGAGGTTCTGAGCAGACATACGTACTCCCAGAACAAATAGTGAATGAGGTTCAGTACTAGTATAGATCGCCCGACACATGGCTATGTTACTTCATTGGGACAACCAATAGGCCGGCGGACTTCGGCTTACCAAATACGGTAAGACGCCGGTCCGGACTTCACATTTTCCTGATGAGGATATGTCTTAACACCGAAGGATATCATCACTACTATTCTCTCTTCCCCCACTTCAGCCACCATACTCTCATTCTTGTCTCATTTAACGCTCATTTACTTCATATCCGACATTCTCGGACCCTGCTTTTACTACGTTTGTCCAACTCAATTAGCGGGTCAACCACCCTCACCCCACGGTGTCATGGCTCCCGCGCAGCCGGACCACTTAAAGGCAACTAAGCGAAGCATCATGAGAGTAAATCCCCAACGAAGGCCTGTCCCTACCCGAAGACACCGGAAGGTCCTGTCATGCACTTCCTGTCGCGATCGCAAAGTCAAGTGCGATCGTTCAAAGCCCTGCGCGCAGTGTGTGCGCGCCAACGCCCAAGATGCTTGCTTCTATTCTTCTGCTACTTCTTCTCCGTCGCAATCTTCTCCGGGGTTAACACCAAGGTCTGCCAAAAGGTCTCTGATTGTACGAGAAGAAGATGCGCAAACTGCAAATGCGGTAAGGCAACTGTCTGCGGGGCCTTCGCTTGGTACACCCCCGTCAACTGTCACTGCTGGGAGTACGTGCAATGTTGATGGGGATGCTGCTGCGAGAAGGTCTATCTTTCGGTCGTCGCCCTTGAGTGCAGTGGGTTCGACGAGGGGAATTAAAGCTCCTCGATGCTTTGACGTACAGCCTCAACATGATAGAGGGCAGGCCTCATCTGCATCAGGGGATACCTTCTCTCAATATCTCTCGCCGTTGTCGTTTCGAGGGAAGCAGCAAAGAACCCGGTTTTTTGGACGGAGTCACTGGGCGACTACCCTTGGGATGGTAAGTATCAAGCTGTTTCCATTTGGCTCAATTGCATGGCTAACAAGTCAACTGCAGTTCCCCGATTTCAACGCCCATTTGCATGAGTACTATCGGAACAAGCAAACTCCCACCAACCCAGGATTCACGGATTACCTATCCCTAAGACGACTAAAACATGATCTGAGAGGACCTGAGAGACGACGACAGAGCGACCAGCCACCCTCGTCAAAACTGATTGAATTATTGCCTGATCGTCCTCTAGCCGAATACCTGATGCGATCGTACTTCTCAACCTTCGAGACAACATTACGCATACTGCACGTCCCTGCATTCATCAGCGAATGGAAAGCTTTCTGCGATCGTAACGTGTCCCACGCTGATGGATTGCTCAATAGCAAGTCTGAAATCTTTATCGCAAAACTCCTCATGTTAATGGCATGCGCCAGCTGCTTCGCCACCGAGAAGACAGAACCACTGGCATCCGCGGGCTTCAGCCCGCAGTCACTGATACAGACATGTCATACTTGGATCTCAGCAGTCACCACATGGCTAGCAGCCATGACAAGCCACGCCCAACTGAGTCTGGATGTGATCCAGATCAAATGCCTACTGCTCCTTGCACAGCAAGCAACCGCCCGAGACGGCGATCTAGCCAGCCTGGCGTCCGGATCCCTACTCCGCGAAGCGATGCTAACGGGTCTTCATCGGGATCCATGCAACTTTCCCAGCATTTCCCCGTTTTGGGCCGAACTACGCAAACGTCTCTGGCTAACAGTCATCGAGCTGGAGCTCCAAGCCTCTCTGTACAGCGGGATACCATTGGCAGTATCATGGGACGAATTTGACAGCCCCTTGCCATCTGACATTGACGATGAGGACATTACCATCGACTCGCTCCATGTACCTCCCTCGAGGCAATCAAATATCCTAACCAGAACATCCTTCCAGATTGCTCTAGCGCAGACACTAGAGACTCGAATAGCTATATCCAAAATGATCAATCGGGTACGCCTGAGCGCGACTTACAACGATGAAGTCACCACCCTCAGCGAACTCCTGACAACAGGACTGGCGCAGGCTCCAGCAGACCTCCGAGACGACCCCAGTGCATCACCCTCACCTAACGACAGCAGCGTAAAGACAGAGTTCCGCCGCTCATTCTTCCTCTTCTTGCACTACCGCAGCCTCCTCGCCCTCCACCGACCCTTCTTCCTGCGCTTCACAGAAACCCAAGTCGGCCAGGAACCCTTCATATTCTCGCGACGAGTTTGCGTCCAGACCAGCCTAGCTTTGCTTTCTCAGCTAGAGCGCTTTCCACACCACCGCCCCAACAACAACCAGCCATCAGCACCACTACCCAACAATGACAATCAATTCTCCCCACACATACACCACCTCAAAGGCGGGCTCTTCCGCGACGACCTCTTCCACGCGGCAGCAACAATCTGCTTCGAGCTACGCTTACAAACCAAATCCCACGACCGAGTAGTCGATATACCTTTTCCAGGGAGTAGTAGTATCTCGAAGTACATGGATCAAAGTGTGTATTATCAGCGGCTGGCGCTGTTCGAGAGCGTGGAGAACACGATTAGGTATTTTGAGGGGAAGGTGAGAGTGGAGAAGAGGGCGACGAAGATGTTTAGTATATTAATGATTCTTTTTATGGTGGTTAGGAGTGACATGGTAGCTGCTAAGGATGGAAGTATAGATGGGGATGGGGGTGGGGAGACGGTGCCGTTGGGGGTTGATGATGCATGTCCGGTTGCTTCGAGGAGGTGTAGGGATGTATTATTGGAGGGATATCAATGCCAGGGTGAGGAGAGGGAAATGGGACGACGTCTTGGAGAGGGAGAGAGTGGCGGGGTATATCAAGTGGTAGGCGTTATTTATTGTCTTCTGCTGATTTTACTTTGGGTATACCAGCTAAGTTTAAGCAGGCAGAGTCTTCGCAAACGCAGGGTTTGGAATCGGATACAGCTGTAGATGCGTGTCATCATACGAATGCCCCGCGGCCAGTGACTTGGGATGATGCTGCAGCTGGGGATCTGGTGTGTATTTGCAGTTCTGCTTGATTCTTATGTGACCCGATTCTGATCACGTCTTTAAATGTAGAGACATCTTGATTTCGACTGGTGTTTCGCGCTTGATCCGCTGTCGCCTTATCCGATAAATAATTGGGCGGATTTGGATCCTCTAATGGTGTGAGGCTGCCATTCCAGCTTATAGCGGAGATTGGCACGGCACACTGCATAGGGTTTACGAGATATATTGGTGGTTCGCAGCATGTAAATGGAACATGAGATTGTTGAGTAGAGATAGGTACTACTGTTCCTGGGGTTTCTGCCGGGATAGGAGCAACCCTCACCCGGACCCCGAAGCAGTGGATCATAACTTGGACAGTCTGCCCATACGGGCGGTGCATGTCTCAAAGGTACATCAAGGATGGCATACTACCGTGCTTGCGCATCGACGCAGCTGGTGCATAAGGAATGGCGGCCTACGAACCTCCCTGCGACAATACAAACTACTGTAGACACCCTCCGAGTGACCATTACAGCCACACAGAATCCCATCATATCCGCTAGGTGCCTTGATCACTCCAATGTGATCACTACTAACCGGTTTCTCCTCGAGACAGCATTGTCGACCCAGTCTCGACTGTTGGGGGTTGAACGGCAAAAAGCGGACACCCCATCCACACGTGACGCCGGGGATTGCCGAGCGTCTCAACAAGGGAGGCGGGTGCCTGCACGGCCGAAGGGAAGGCCACCACCAAGTCGTATAGTAGTCCCCCTGGATGCACCCTTATCTGGTGCAAATTGGTTAGCAATGTAGTATATGCATCTCCCCTAGCTGCTGATCTGCCTATCTCTAGAGGTCTAATTCGACCAAAATGTGACCGATGGCGCCTTTGGGTGTCCGGTGAGTTGGGGTGTTTGCATTGTTTGCATGGTTGGGGGTGGCATTGCCGACGAGAATCCCCAAGGAATTGCCGGCGGGGGGGCAAGAAAGAAAGGGAGCATTGTAGCCAACTCAAAATACTCAGTATCCTGAATCCAAAAGACTGTCCGACAAGGTCACTGCGAAATCTCTCTTCAACATCAGTTATCATGGCGTCCACTGGCACAGGTACGTGAGCATCAGCACCAGCAGAATAGAACCATCCATTCTTGGCGTTTCTGGATAGACTCGCAAAGCGGCGGCTCCCCACAGATTTTACCTTTTCCTCATCTTTTCCCTCAACTTCCTCCACAGCGAAATCTCAGCGTGTCGTTGCCTCTGTTACTGTACCATTTTTGTTCCTTCATCGAGTGCCAACTTGCAAACGTATTGATATCCTTGCGCTTCCATTTTGATTTCCGTTCCTTTTTTCTCTGGGTTCCCCTGGCAGTGACTCATCCTCGTGGTGCTGCAATTTTTGTCCATTCCTTTGTCCTCATAGCCCCTTCACACCGTCATGGAGTCCACAAGGCTTGTTTCACGACTGCAGCGGATGTATTCCAGGTTTGGAATACATACTTCTCCCCGGTCGGGGGTGCAGTCAAGTTCACGAGCCAGTCTTCCTCTTCCCTCCCAGCGTGTCTCCTTTGTTCCACCACGACAAGCCGCCTGCTTCTCGACCACCAAGCCACCAGCTTGTGCTAATACAGACGCAGACCGCTTCACCTCTGCTCTGCATCAGAACAAAGACTGGGCAGCACAGATCTCCAAGGAAGACCCCTCACTGTTCCCAACGCTCGCGAACGGCCAGCAGCCCGAGATCCTCTGGATCGGCTGCTCCGATTCCCGATGCCCCGAAACCACTCTTCTTGGTCTTAAGCCGGGCGATGTCTTTGTCCACCGGAACATCGCCAACGTCCTGCACGCCGGCGACCTCAGCTCCTCTGCCGTGATCGAGTACGCGGTCCGTTACCTGCGCGTCAACCATGTAGTCCTCTGTGGTCACACCAGCTGCGGCGGTGTCGCCGCGGCCCTGGGTAACAAACAGTTGGGGATCCTGGACCCCTGGTTGCTGCCCCTGCGCCAGCTCCGGGCGAAGAACCTGGATCTGCTGAACTCGCTGCCGGCCGACCAGGCGAACCTTAAGCTGGTCGAGCTGAATGTCTTGGAGGGCGTCAAGCTGTTGAAGGAGAAGAGCGTGGTGTTGGAGGCGATCCAGGAACGTGGGCTGCAGGTTCATGGGCTGATTTATGATGTCGGAAGCGGTGTTCTTCGGGAGTTGGACACGGACGAGTCGGAGGAGGCGATCAAGGCGCGGCTCACATCGTTCAAAGTGGATGTTTAGGAAGGAGAAGGGGTTTTCGTTTTGGAGTCAGTTCGGGTCGGGTTCAGTCCATCTGTTGTTTCTTTCTTGTGTTATTGTAATCAGCGAACGGCAAGTGTTAGCCAATGTCGATGCATTTTCATCATCTTTCATCATTCCGTCTTTCGATCATTCCACATTGCAGGAGTGATGTGCTCGTCAAGTAATGTTTTTGCCCTCATGATAGAAGATCAAACAAGTAGATGACGAGAGAGAGAGAGAATGTATTGTGTGTCCTACACAGTATATGTGTGTGATGGGGACAGCAGTGTTAGGTGTGGGATCAAGCAATCAGTAGTAACATTAAGGAAGAAGGTAGATAGATGGAAGGACGACGATGAAGAGAACAAGAGAAGAGAGAGAGGAAAGAGAGGGAGAGATGGATGGGAGGGGGGAACAACTGTTCCAGAGTGTCTCTCTCTCTAACTTCCCACTCCCTCCCGCATTCTCAATATTATTAGTTCGTCTGCCTCGCCCGGAAGGACCGCGGTGGAGCTCCCGGTTGTCTACATCGGGAATAGTCCCGGCCGAAGCGGGAGTTGTTTCGGGGCTCCCTTTCGGATTTTGTTTTCCTTTTTTTCCTTTTTCTCATTTTTGACTAATTTATTTTGTTCCCTTTTGGATTAAGTATAACATAATGGTTCGGATTATTATTTTGTCACTAGTAAATCATTCTTTTCTGTGGTTTCTTTGTGGGAAGTGTTGAGAACCTGAGGCAACAATCTATCCCTTCCTGGGTTGTGGCAGGCATACGGCACTGGAGAGATGGTTGGGCTCACTATTCTGCACCCAAGACAAGTTACTGGCTACAGGCTACCTCTCGCATCTTATCAAGCACCTCTGACGATATGCCATCTACATTCAACGAGTCGAAACACTCTCGCACGATCAAAGAGATGAACAGCAGATGAATCTGCAGGGATCTATTTTCCAATCCCACAATGGTATTCAATGAGACGACCGAAACCTTCTCCGGTTCATCATGCGATATTCTATATACATACAGGAGAGATTATATTATGACAGACAGTAAAAGTATATCCAAGGGGTGTAGGTAAGGAAGGAAAGGAGGGAAGGAAGAAAGGAATGGTGGGGACGTAGGTAGAATGTTCATGCCCAGTGGTGCTCAAGCGCACCACCACATCATTAAGGCGTTCAAGGTTTGGAAAGCTGTTCTTTCCGGAAGAAGAGGAGGAAGCCAGCACACACCAACAGCTGACAAAACAGGGCCACCCAGAACCACGCATTGGCCACTGAACTTCCTCCAAAGGTAGGGTCCGGCGACACAGGACCGGGCCCAACGTTATTCGGGGCAAACGCTCGCGCACAGATGGTGGCGATGGAACCAAGCACCTGCGAGCAGATCAAGGTGAACAGCATGTGCATGCGGGTCAGGGTCTGCAACAGGATAATACCGAACCCGAGACCCTGGATCGAATCCAACACACCCAGCCAGAGCCAGAGACTCCGTGAGGCCAGAGCTCCGCCGAGATAGCCTCCGGAGACCCAGGGAAGGTAGTAGCCAATGCCCGAGACACCCCACCAGATTTGTATGAAGCGAGGCGCCCCGAGTCCGCACGCAAACACGGGCAGGAACCAACTGTGGGATTTGAAATAGCGGCTGACAACGAACAGGAAGCCCGCCCAGACGAACCCGTAGAAGACGATACATAGGATGACGATTTGCCAGGCCTTAGCGTGGTTGGAAGACCAAAGGACTGCAGAGTAGAGTTAGCTTGCCAATTCGACAAGATATGGCGAAAAGAGATAGACTTACAGCCCCAGTTGCGACCGTAAGGTGCGCTAAGGAAGAAGTTTTGAAGGATGACGGCAACGAAGTTCCAGATGACGATCTTGCGGCGGAATACGGACTTGTAGAAGGAGGCCACCTTTCCAGGAGTCTGGCGATAGTAGTTGGGAAGTCCGAAGAGCAACAACAATCCAACAGCCCAGAGGAAGATTGCAATCGGGTAACAGATGGCACTAGAGATCATTGTTAGCGAGCCGAATGACTGACTAGATGGCTGATTGATCAATGAATCAGGGGCTTGAAGATACTCACGTCATCTTCCAGCTGTTGGCGATATTGTTCGTCGAGGTCAACAAACCCTGGCTGGATGCCTTGGTCAGGGTAGAACCCCAGTACCAGAGTCCGATAATATAAGCCGACTGGATACCCTGGATGAGACAGGCCCGGAAGATCCAGGTTTCAACCGGCGCACCACCTTCATCACCAAAGTTCAGAGCGAAGAAGATGGAACCGCTAGAGGAGGCAGCGGCGTAGCATCCACTGCCGATATTCTGGATCCAACCGCGGTTGAATGAATTGGGTTCGAAGTGGGCGGAGCCGATCAGGAGGAAGGCAAGGCCATAGAAAAACCAGGGAGCCGAGAGGCAAACCACCGATTTGAAGTAACGGAACACGAGCCACCAGAGGATTGAGGTGATCAGGTAGGTGGTAGCGATACCATAAAGCTTCTCAGCCGTCTCACCGACCTCACCGGTAAGCAAGGTCACCTGATAAGAGTTTGCTGCAATGATCTGACCCAAGGCAAGGAACAACGAGTAGACTGGCCAGTCTCCGACACGAATCTGCATCCACTTGCGCAGACCCGTCGGAGGCACGTAATCCTTACCCAGGAGGAACTCGTCGTCTTCCGTATCACGAGACTCTCGATCATCGTCGCCACTCACCCGAGAGCCAGTGTCATCGTAGTATGAACCAACGGGGGAGGCACCATGTTTGTCCCGGAAGACGGACGAAGCGGGGGATTTCAGGCGACCCAGTCGAGCATCGCGGAACTTGTCGAACCATTCCTTTTCACTCTTGATGAGATATTCTTCAATGCAAAGCTGGGATTCGGAGTTCGAGCCGTTCAAGCCGGTCAGCTTCTTGTCGAATGCCTTGTAGTACTCGCCGGTAGAATCCGTAAAGAAGGGGTCGACCTTCTGCAGCTTAAAGTCCGTCTTGGTGCCAACGACCGAGTCCAGAGATAGAACAGATGCGCTACTGAGTCGGCTACCGGCATCCCCAAGCCTGGGTGGCGGGAGGAGGCTCTGTGTAGGAGTGGGAACAGGTCCAGGGCTGCTAGGAAGCTGTCGCGGATGCAAGGAGTCTTGACTATAACGGCGAATGCCTGGGCTCGTGGGCATACCAACTCCCTGCTGCTGGACCGCCTGCAAGCGACGCCCTTCCTCGACCTGGGCCGGGGTGAGAGTGTACTCGTCGTCCGCGTCCTGCTGATCGCCAATATCCTCGTGGTCTTCTTCAACGTCAGTCATGGCCCCGGCGGTGTCTTCGTGTTCGGGGATACTGTCGCGTTGGCGTCCACGACGGCCACGGCGCTCTTGATGACCAGGTCCGGAGCGAACACCAAGTGAGAGCTGCCGTTGCAGACCGGACCGCGGCTTTTCAGTACCGCTGGGGCTGATATCGCGACTGTAGTTTGTTTTCGGATCTGTGACATATTCACTGAGACGGTTCAGGTTCGAATAGCTGCTGTCCCGAGAATGGGCCATGGGGGTCTGCATTCCCGGGGGCATCAGTGGGCTTGACGGCTGGCTCAAGATGCCATTCGGCGTGGTAGTTCCAGACGGGGTGAAGGGTCGACCATTATGTTTGACTAATTCCTTGTTGTGCACTTGGATGGCGGTGGTTTGCAAGATCTCCAAGTCTTCCACCCATTGGGCCACCGGGAAGCGCTGTTTGGCGGACCGGGCACGCATCATGGCACGAGTTTCCGTTTTCGAACTGAGCGCCGCATCGATAGCCAGCTTGAATTGAACGAGCAAATGAGAAGTAGCAGTCGATTCCACATTGTACCACCAACCTGGCATCTGACCGAGACCACCAACCCGGGCACCGATACCCAAAGCTCCCTTACGTCCGAACTCGACGGCGACCAGACCAAAGGGCTCGTCACGAGAGGGAATCAGCGCGAATTCAGCACCAGAGAAGATGTAGGGGGGCAATGCCGTGAATTCGGGTCTGGAAAACACTCGTCCAGGGTAGACCTTCATCATATGGTCCAGTTTGAGGGCTGCGAATTTACCGTAGAGATCGATAACCGGTCCAACACAAATGAGCTGCACATTGGGGCGCGCTTCCAGGACAGCAGGCATGACGTCGGCGATCAAATCAACACCCTTCTGCATCGACCAACGACCAACGAAGACAAGCAAATCGGCGTCAGGGTTTTGTTCCAGACCGGCCCACTCCTGAGCTTGACGCTTGAGGTCGCCTCGTCCAGCTTCGTAAGTCGGATCCACGGTCACATTATCACCCATGGCGCTGGCCTGTTCCTTGCTCCATTCACCGACATCGGACGGATCAGGGTTAGGTAGGTTTCCAACCTTACGGAGACCCCAGAAAATGGGGTAACGCGCGTAGGACCGCTTTCCATACTTCTTGGACACACCGACAGCACCGAAACCCTGTTGGTGAACACGAAGATAGCTAGCACCCGAGTGGAGCAAGTTGAACACCTCGCCGAACTGCACGTAATGCCTCACGGTCTCGATATCCAGGTTGAACACGGAGCAAACTTCCTCCTTTTCTTTCTGCGTCCGCATGGGCCACAGACCTTGGAACTCGGCGTTGTGCAGGGAAAGGCAGGCAGGCACTGTATCTGGGAGTAGATACAGAGGAGCCAGGGAACCGTGGTAATCGTTGATATGATAGAGGTCGATCGGGAATCTCTTGCAGGCCTCAGCAATGCACTGATTCCAGGCGGAGTAGTAAATGGCGCTGTTCAGGTCGTCCATGCGGGCGGGGTAAGGCTCTGACTTGGACTGTTGACGGAACACAGGGGCATCCAGCAAAACGTAGGTTATGTTATTCAAGACGTGATACTGGACCTGGACTTCGTATGAATTGCCCAGAATGGTGACGTGCATGGGCTCTGCGGGTTTATCCACGGGGTAATCAACGCCCCCGACGCAGGGCACCACCCAGATCAAGTCTTGATGACCCAGAGTCTTACCCATGAGTTGCGCCATGACACCAAGGCCACCAATCTTGATCTTGATGGCCCAATCCTCAATGTCGTACTCCATGGTGGCAATCAGAACCATGCGACGCTTGCCGCTAGCAGCACCGCCAATCGCCGTGTCGGTCTGGAGGAACCCGGACTTGTTTGCCAGACGCATAAGAGGGTTTGAGTTCTCCTCATCCATGCCACGATTGCGCTTGAACTTCCGGCGCAGAGCCAATGGGATCATCTGGTGCTTCTCGCTCACACCAACCTGGTTGAATTTGACCTTGTAGAAAGACTTCATGAAAGCCCACACACCGGCTGCGCCCGTGATGACGGGGATGATCCAAAAGAGCACATACATGGCGATCTGAGTATTCTGATGCCCGACAGGGAACAGCTGGAAGCGCATGGTCCCGTCATCAATGAAGATATTCCACGAGATGTAGGGAGAGGGAGGATGTTCAGTGATGTTAATCAGTGTGGCGGATAGCGAAGAGGGCGGCATGCGATCGAGAACGGAATCATTGTCAGCGTCACCTAGGACCCAACTTTGGTCAGGCTCCCCGTCAGGGTTCATGCCCCAGATGTTCAATTGAGCCTGAGCAGGCCATTCCGCGGTGAAATGGTATTTCCAGAGACCGTCTACGCTGTCCTGCCGGACCACGTTGTCCAGACCTGCATCATATCCATACTGGTTGTAAGGACCGTTGAAGAAGACGTGAGGGAAACGGCGAGGGACTTTCTCGTCCCAGCCCGCGTCTCCCTCTTGGACGTAGTCGCTGCTGCCGGTCCACCGACTCCAATACTCGACGCGGACATGGTTCCCTTTCCAAGACTGTTTCTTGGTTCCCGACCATTCGAGTTCCTCAATAGTGTCATTTCCGCCCTTGTAGTCCATCCAGTCGGAGAAAGTGGTCCCCCAATTGGTTGAATAGCGATACTTATCAGCACCAGCGGCGTGGTGCTGGATGAAAAGAGTACCGTTGGATTCCTCATGGAGCAAACTACTCGAATAGTTCGCACTGGTGAAAATCATGGGATTATCGATCTGGCCGATGCGGAAGAGGAAATGGTCGACCGCATTGGTGGTCGCATTCCCACTCTCTGTGCTGACATTGTTGACCGTTAGACGATGAATGCCGTTGTAAACGCCTGTCAGGTTGGCCGCCCACAGCCACACCCCGGGGATCTGGCCGGTCCAGCTGGTGTTAGTGGCGGGAACTGACTTGCAGTTGACGCTGTTAGAATCGACGGACGGGACCTTTCCAATTTCGGTCGACGATGAAAGGGTAATTGACTTTGTCACCGAGTCGCAATCCATTTCTTCGGAGAAGTAGATTTCGACCTCCACATTCTCGTCTGCGTTCGGTGCCACGGTCGAGCGGATCGGGACATCGTGTCCCGGAGTGAACTTCGTGATCATCGGTCTGGGTTTAGTAAAGCGGGTTTTAGGCACGTAGGCCCGAAATTCATATGCGTCCATGGTCATATTAGCCAAGCAGCCACTGTATGCAGTCGATCCGTTCAATCCCAACTTAGTGGGGGAATCAATCAGCTGGTGCTCGTCATACGGGTAAAACAGGTTTTTGACCCAGGTGCCACTATCAAAGGGGGCAATGAGAGCTGTATCATTATCCGAGCAGTCAAACTTATAATCAATGGTGCGATTCGTGTTGTGGTAAACCAACCAGACGGGCTGGTTGTTTGCATCCGAACCCAAATCCTGCACATCCGCGTTCACATCGCGGAGGATGGACCAGAGTCCTGTCTCGGTGGCTGTGCCATTGGAACCGAGATAATACACATCTTCGGTGTGGTTCGAGAGCTTTTGAATAGTATAACCGTCATTGAGAACAGGGAACTGTTCGCGCATCTGATACATGTGCTTGATAATATTGCGCACCGGATGAGACGGGTCACGATGATCGTAGGCCACCGTGGGGTCATGGCAGCCCTGGCGGCCAGACTCTATGGGCCAGTTATAGTACTGAGACGATTCCAAGGAGAAACAGCCATGATCCCTCCAAGCGGTGGCAGGAGACATGGCCTGCCGACCGTAGATGTAGTTGGATGCCGTGGCATCCAGAACGTAAAACGCCTGTTCCTCGCCCCAAAGAAGGAGCGGGATTCCGGGGAGCAGAAGAGTCGTGATGTACAATCCAAGTAACTGGCGCTCCACGCCCTTTTCCACAGTGGGCCAACGGAAGACATCCTGGTTGGTAGCCCCGTACATGTGGCGGGGGTCGAACTTGCCGGTGTTCGCATTGACCAGATCATTCGACTGCAGCATGAGATTCCAGGCATCAACCCAGTCGACCGGCACATCGTAACCGGCAGCCAGATTACCATCCATGCCCAGGAAGCGGGTCAGTGCTCGGTAAATGGAGTAGTGGAAGGCTGCGCCATCGATCGCCTCATGTCCTACTTCACGCAGGAAATACTGGGCGTCAGAAGTGTTGGTCAGCTTCATGGCTGCCTCCGCCGAGTCAGGAAACTGATTTGGCTGTCTACCTCGGCCCAGGTAGATAGAACCAAAGGTATTACCACCCGTAATTTCGCCCGCAATGAAGAAGTTTTCCTTTCCAACGGCGCGGGCACACTCGCGGTACGCATTGGACATATCTCCGAGAGCGTCAACGGTTGCCTGAGTTGCCTTGTCGTACCGGAAACCGTCAATATCGAGGGACTGGATAATAATGCAGGAGTGGCGGATCAAACGCTCGCGCACCGAGGGAACCCATTCACGGAGTCGATCCTGAACGGAGGCGAATTTGGCCAGCTGACGTTGCCAATCGGGAAAAACACCAAAGGCCTCAATATCACCATACTGGTCGAAGTCGCTATTGTAACATCCGACCAGTTCCTCGGTGACTGAAGCTTGAACAGGGTAGCCATCCTCAAACCAGAAGCGGGGGTAATCGCATGTTTCGTTGTAGTCATTGCCAATGTCGAAGTCCACGTAGCGGCGGTCAGTCTTCCACACCGTCTGGTGTTCCTTCACAGAGAAGGGGGTAGTAGTGTTCAGATAGCCATCAAATCCGATCAAATCGCCCATCCTAAACATTGAAGGTGAGTATTTTTTGGGTGTGGGGGAGACAAAGGCAGCGGTTAACTTACGTTGCGATGGTGTTATCGAAGATGACATACATCCCCCGCTTATGAATTTCCGTGATGGCGTTGCGCCACGTCTGCAGGTTACCATAGTGTTGATCGAGCAAAGTCGTATCCAAAGCCGAATAACCGTCAGATCCCCAGGGCTGGTTCATCAGGATTGTTCCGGCGAGATAGAGGCCCTAAACGAATGTTAGTAGTTAATCGCAGCATCGCGCAAGCCACGGAGACCGACCTTGATTCCCATGCCCTGCAAGTAATCCAAGGTGTCCAGCAGGCCGGCAACATCACCACCATGGCGCATCTGATTCGAGCGGAGGTCGTGCTCGAACAGGGTACCATTGATGTTGTCGTTTGTGGGGTCACCGTTGACGAAGCGGTCTAGGAAGAGGGTATAGACAGGGAAGCGCCAATTGTCCGGGGAGGGGAAGTAGTCCCCAGTGTGATTGGGCCATGTTCCCCAATAGTCCGCCGGATTAGTGGCGGACTGGTTCTGGTTGAAGTTGTAGTCGACGAGGGACTCATCGTAGGGCCAGGCCGTTGCTGTTGTTGCGAAACAGGCGAGCAGCGTGCCGGAGATAGCCCACTTCATGCTGGGTGGGAAGGTCGAGTCGACCCGGGATGACCACCGGTCAACAAACCAGGAACAAGACGTAGGGCCAGGTCAATGTGAGATGGTTGAGTTGGCCAAAAGCTGGGGAGAAAGAATGGTTTCTGCCTCGTCACCACGGCTGACTGCGATCTTTCTTCGCTGGGTTGGGCAGGTCACTCAATGATAGTCGGTTGGGTAGATGATGAATGCGACTGATAACGAGCGATAGATAGCGTGCAGATAACGAGAGAAACACAGGACGCTTCGTTAACGAGTGAAATCTATGGGGAATCACAATGCAACAACAATCAAAACAAGAAACGATGCATGAGATCAGAGATAAGATGGATCCAGCGAGAGAGGGGAGAAGAGGAAGTGGAAGAGAGAAGGAGAAAGAGAAAAGATAATACGAGGAATAGGAGGAAGGAGAAAGTGTCAGAGGGGAAGGATGATGGGGACAAAGGCGAGAAAGCCAAATGGAGAAAAAAGCTAATCAGTCCAACTAATAGTAAGATACTGAGCTACTAGCAGCGATGCTGAGGCTCAGCAATGAGAGGCTGGATTGGGGGCACACATCGATATCCGCGATAGTGGATCGAGGGGAAGGGACTAAGGATCGATGAAATGAAAAATAGAAAAAAGAAGCAGACGAGACGTCTCGTCTTGTCTCGTCGATGTGTATTTTGCTAATAATAACCCCAAGCTGACTGGAGAACCACTCTGAATGGCTCCCCGGTGCCAGCTCACTCGTATAGGACTGGTTCCCCGGGGGTAAGTAAGTTATCGAATCCACGCCGGAGGGACTTCTAGCCTTGTCCAGAGCCAGAGGGAGGGGCGACTTGCCGTTGGCTATGACGGAATACTTTTTGCCTGCTGAGAGTGGACTAGACCGCGGCAGTGCGGTGCAAAGACCAAAAGAGGGAATTTAAAAAAAAAGTATTGAAAAATTGGAAATTTAGAAGGGTTAGGAAAAAGAGAAAATGAATAAAAATGAATAACGGAAGCGGACCATTGGGTGGTCCGACAGCCATCCCATTGAAAAAAACATGGGCCACTCTCGTATATAGTAGTAAGTAGGCTATTCGGAGCCGTTAGATACTTAGTAGGTTTCCTCTCGGACCGGTAGGCATTTTACGGTGGAACTCAAGGGGCAGTTGGAACTGGATCATTGAATGTCTTGAAAGAAGGGTTCTTCCGCCCACTTGATACCGCCAGGCCCTCACCAATCCCCTTTGAGATCTAGTCTCGCGCCTCCCTTTAGTCCCCCCGAAAACTGGACCCTCCCTGGTCCCTCCGAGGACTTCCTTATTGTTCCCATCGCCCATTTCCGTACTATGGGAAACAGGCGAAGACCCCTTCATCTGCTACAGCTGCTGCTGCTGCTGCTGCTGCTTCTGACGGTAATCTCTACTAGGCCAAGGGTGCCAGGTCGTATTCACGCCCAAGCCAAACGATACCTGAAGAGGCAGCAATACGGTGGCGTGCAACCAATCTCGGTAACGATAAAACTCTATTGGCCCTCTTCTAAGACACTCTACACAGTAGTGCAGGTGATGTCTTACTGTCATCAAGCAGCTCATTTTTTTTTCCTCGATTTCTTCAAGAGGAAATTTGGGTCTGATAAGGGCGGACCCTCCCGATTGGTGGTGGAGGGTCTGGGATTCGGCTAGTAGTCTATTAGTGGTAGTATACTGGAGAAAAACGATGGTGCTGATACCGTAAGAGTGGTGGTAGTTGGTAGTCATTTCTCGTATAATTTATTTTTCTGGTGTAGAGGGTCAGACCTATAGCGTTATCTCCTGCCCTTTACTCGCAGAAGGGGGAGGTGAGCCATCCCATGCATGCAGCGGGCTTGGTGGTGTGTTTGTTCCTGAATATGGTGTGTGTGTATTTTTGGGGGCAACAGTATTCCCAATCAGCTTCAGTCCGCCAACTTCCGTGGCGTTGACTTCGGGCCTCCAACTGCAAAATGGTCAGAGAAAGAAAAGAAAGGCAAAGAAACGAAAAAAAGTCCAAAAATACCGACAAGCCAGTCATAGCCCGGAGATGATTCCGTGGTTGATCCCGAAGCGATCCTGACCGGTTGAAAGTTTCCAGAAAGCTGTCACCGACCGAGAGCGGGCCCCTGCACTCTTTGCCTGCTATTTTGGCTCTTCTGCCCGGTTCGACTGCCAAGCCCCTGTGTCACTTTTTTTTTTTTTTTTTTCGCTCCCTCGCAGCGGAGAAGAGAAAAACACAAAAATAACAGGAAATAAGAAACAGGAAATTTTGACGCAGGCTTTGCCACTTTAGTTTCTTTTCTTTCCAACGGGCCTGAGGAATGATAAACATGTCATCCATAAACAACGCTCGCCCCTGCAGAAGCATACTACTAAGTACTTTCCACTCCATTGAGACCACACAGACCCGTAAGGTACACAACTCAGTAAGATGCCAGAAAGTTTTTTGTTGGAGCCACGGAGGCCATCCTGGCCAGGCGGGAGTGGGTCTCCGGCGAAGGATTTACGGGATCGCAGATTCAAATCTGGATGGTCTTTGGTCGGGTTCCCGTGAGGCTGGCAGCCACCTTGGGTTTTTGGAGAGAGGGGTCTACTAGATGGACCCTTGGCATCCCGGTGTGCTATCTTTTCACAATTCACACAGCACAGAACCGAGATAGATAGACGGGACTAGTCTTCTTTGGGTCTCGCGGAGGACTAACGAAGTACCTAAGTGGTGACTACTACTGATTTCTGCTAAAGGTCTGATCGGATACACCACACTACGAGAAATCGGGCCATGCATGTCTTACTTGGTTTTATTCCCATCCCTCGCGGGCCAATGGTCTCCTGCAAAATGATTATCAGCCAGGGCAGAGATCACCCAAGAGCGAACAAGAAGATTTCCGAGCAACACCACCGTTTCCAATAATAAGATTTCTTCCTGTTTTTTCTTGCTCCCTGGCCCCCACTTGGCGGTAAGGTACTGTCAGTATTGTGAAACTTGCAGCCTTCTGATGGTAATTTGAAATTCAGGCTGCTGATTCGGGCAACGCCGCTTTTCCCAATCCTGCCAGCCAAGCCCGCCGCCAAGACCCTGGCGGTTGGACCTTGGCTCGCCTGGAAAAAGGAATAATGAGAAGATAAATCAAATTTGCTCTCGGACAGGTTGTTCCTCTTATCGGGCTGCTCTGTGTGCCTGAACCTTGCATTAGATATGAAGTCTATGAAGTACAGTCAACTTATGCAGACGAGGAAAATATCTCAATCACTTATCTCCTGCCAAGCATCTGGGGTCACCCGTCAAGGAACATGGCGAGAAGAATGAGCCAAGCTTTGCCCTCGTTCTCATTTCCCCTTTGTCCACCACGCGATCTCCGTCCCAAATTTTGGGGTTTGGAGCAGCTGCGTGCTTTCTCGGACCAGTATATCCGCTGTTGTCTGACTGTCTCACATATTCTCGAGTGCTTACAATACAATGTTCCCCTGATGAACTAATTATACTAGTTGGCTAGTCTTCACTTGGTCAGGGTTTAGCGGTGGAGTCCCTGGCCATCTTCATTGGATCACCAAATAGCCTAAAACGGTGTCTTTCCGGAGATTCCAAGTAGGGCAGACACCAGAATGGTTCTACTAAACTACTAGTCAAGAACATGTCTCACTGGCCCCCTCTTCTTCCCCATTTCGACCCATCGGAATGGCCGGTTCGCTCATCTGCCGCTCTTTGTGCCTGGCAGAAGCATTAGCCCCAGCTCGTGGCGGCGTGACAGGCTTGGTCTTGGAGAAATCAGAAGCCATTCCTCCGCCGGAAAACTCGTGCCACCGTTGACGCCAGTGGTGACATCTGCAGGGGGGTGGTTGAGGAGAAATGCCCCCTCTTGAAGCCAATGGGAAGGACAAGCTGGCAAACCAGGAAGTGGTATCTTCTAGTCAAATAATCCGGGGGAGCTGCAAGCAGGAACCTCGGTGCCACCACCGGCAGGGATCAATGGTTCCTGGTCCTGCGCGGGAGTCGCCCTGGGGTTCCGGGAAAATCTTAAAGATCAGGGTTCGAGGGATCAGGGCGACGCCTCTGATGCCTTTCACACATGGCTGAAGATGAGGATGGTGGTGATCATGATAAGGAGGATAATGGATCAATCAATCTATACATTTTTCTCCGATTGGCAATTTCCCCCCGCCACCTTGAGTAAGTAGGTTATATGATGCTAACCCAGATGCACTGCACTGCACACTCATTGGTCCCCTCTCGAATTGAACTAAAAAGCAGGCTAGTTTACCTGTTTATCATCCCATCCAGGGGATCCGGCCTGAATGCAGTTAGTGAGGTCCCCTTACTGCTCGCTCCACCGGCATTTTGCACCTGCACCTGATGTTCAGTCAAGCTCTTCCCCAGCATTCCACTTCTTCTCGCTTCCCCTCTTCTCTCTCCTCCTCCTCCTTCTCCTCCTCCTCTCCTCTCTTCTCCTCTCCTTTCCTTTCCCTTCCTTCCTCCTCGCTCATTCTTTCGCTCTCGTCACATCAACCAATGCATCCATCACTGAAGTGACCCCTCTTCCTGGGCTTCTCCCTTGCCATTCATTCTTCCTTTGGATCTGACCATCGCCATTCTTTCTCTACATTTGGGTCCCACTGCTTTTGTCACTCTTTCATTTCTTGCCGAGCCCGTATCCTTCCTTTTAGCGTAAACGGCTATCTCCCAGCATACCACATTTGTCTTATCGTGTCTCTAATTCGGCCCCGCAGTTGCTCGGCAGGTACATGTGAGCATCTGTATCATTGATATAATTCACATTTTCCAGTGACTGTAGCCATGGTCTCAATGTCAGCCCTGCGACACGGGCTTGGGGTCCTCTATCTTGCTGGCTGGCTGGGGTCGTCGCTGGCCGCCACCACTGAGCAATGGAAGTCTCGGTCAATCTATCAGACCATGACGGATCGCTTCGCGCGCACGGATGGCTCAACCACCTCCCCCTGCAACACCACAGAGGGTCTGTACTGTGGTGGCACCTGGCGCGGCATGATCAACCACCTCGATTACATCCAGGGAATGGGTTTTGATGCCGTCATGATCTCCCCTATCATCGAAAACGTCGAAGGTCGCGTGGAGTATGGAGAAGCCTATCACGGCTATTGGCCCTTGGATCTATACTCCCTCAACTCACATTTTGGCACGCACCAGGATCTGCTCGATCTGAGTGACGCCCTGCATGCTCGCGACATGTATCTGATGATGGACACGGTCATCAACAACATGGCCTACATCACCAATGGCTCCGACCCCGCTACCCACATCGACTATTCAACCCTCACCCCCTTCAACAGCTCGTCTTACTATCATCCGTACTGTAAGATCACCGACTGGAATAACTACACCAATGCCCAGCTGTGCCAGACCGGTGATAACATTGTGGCCCTGCCCGATCTGTACACCGAGCATGCCGAGGTTCAAGAAACGCTAAGCAACTGGGCAAAGGATGTTATATCCACCTATTCCATTGATGGTCTCCGCATCGATGCAGCAAAGCATGTGAACCCAGGTTTTCTGAAGAATTTCGGCGATGCTGTGGATATCTTCATGACCGGCGAAGTGCTGCAGCAAGAGGTCAGCACGATCTGCGATTACCAGAACAACTACATCGGCAGTCTCCCGAATTATCCCGTCTACTACGCCATGTTGAAGGCCTTCACCCTGGGCAACACCAGCGCCCTGGCCACTCAAGTCCAGGAGATGAAGAATTCCTGCCATGATGTGACCGCCTTATCCTCGTTCTCCGAAAACCACGATGTCGCACGATTTGCCAGCATGAACCCGGACATGGCTGTATGGACCCTTGAACCCTCTAACGCATTCGCTAGCTAACATTCTGTCCCATTAGCTCGCGAAGAATATCCTCACATTCACTCTTCTTGCCGATGGTGTGCCCATGATTTATCAGGGTCAGGAACAGCATTTGGATGGCCCCGGCAGTCCCAAGAACCGAGAAGCGATTTGGCTCACTGAGTACAACACCGACGCCGAGCTCTACAAATTGATCGGCAAGTTGAACGCCATCCGGAAGCACGCCTACCGACTCGACAATCACTATCCGGATGTTCAGACGTACCCCGTCTTCGAGGGTGGCAGTGAACTGGGATTCCGCAAGGGAGTCGAAGGCCGGCAAGTGGTCATGCTTCTATCCACGCAGGGCACCAACAGCAGCGCTTACAACCTCTCGATGCCTGTGAGTTTCACGGGCGGCACGGTCGTGACGGAGATTCTGAACTGCATCAACTACACGGTCAATGCCCAGAGTGAACTCGTGGTTCCGATGGATAAAGGAGAGCCGCGCGTGTTCTTCCCGGCGGATCTGATGCCCGGCAGTGGACTGTGCGGACTCCCTGTCGCGAATGTCACCTATGCTGCCTTGAAGACGCAGGGCGCAGCGGCAGCAGAGGCTGCTTTGTCGCTGGGCATCAGAACCGATGCAGCTTCCAATGCTTTGCTTTCTCTGGTGCTGTCTGTGGTGGCGGGTCTGCTTGTGGGGATGTGGTAATATGCTGATAGCTACAGATGGGATGAGATATATTATCTGTTTCAGTGTTCTTTGTATGTATTTGCAGTAACGATACCCTTACCTAGTATTTTGTATATATTTACTTCACTATATTCACTACCACCTGCATATACTCGCGGTAACCGCGTTTCGCTTTTTCCCACACTAGTTACTAGTCATCCAGCACTAAGCAATAAACAGAATAGAGACAACTAAAAATCCAGTACAATATATATAGATCACCTACATACTAAATTCCAGACAATGACCAAAACGGGTACCTGCATCCCACAGCTGTTGACGATCACCGTGGCTGGCTGATCCTCTCCCAACACTAATCTGGAGGCAAATCCGTTCGGCCTCGGTAGGGTTCCGAACAAAACCGCCCGAGCTAAAAATACTCGGTCATCAGCAAGAAAAAAAAGGCCCACTTCAGGACCCATAGAAAATTGAACTGAAGTCATGCACAACGTGTTAACTAACTGACTAGCTAGCTAAGCCAGCTATTCTTAGTGTTGGCACATTAGCTATTCTAAACATTCTTTGTGAGCTCAGCTCCGTCGCTGA